GTGCTGGGACAGACTTTGAGGCTCAGTCCACAGGTAGGTACCATCCTGGAACTGGGACCTCAGGGGCTGGCCTGGCACTTGGTGGGACTAGAGCCTGTATCTGCAGCCCAGAAGCTGGTCTGCAGGTGCAAGCCTGAGGACAAGCTGCAGGAGACAACCTGGTGCTGGCTTTTATTGAGGCAGGCCTTGTTTTGCTGCCAGGTCCAAAGCAGAGTCTAGTGCTTATTTCTCTCTCCCTCCCTCATGCTGAGGATACCTCGCTTCAAGCTGTGCTGCCTGGGTTTGGGAGAGGGGTGATGCAAGTGATGTCGAGCTGTCCTTCCTACCGTCTTTGGTGCTACATCCAGGTGCTGTAATCTCTCACTTGGTTTCCTTAGTTCTTATGGAGGGTGTTTTTCTATGTGGATGGTAGCTCAAATTGATATTTCTCTTGGGTGGGGGTGATATCTGCTGGCAAGTCCTATTCTGCCATTTCTTGATGTCTGTCTCAAATTGTCCCAGCTTTACAGATGAAGAAACCGAAGTTCAGAAAACTTGTATCTCTTGCCAAGGACACAAAACTATTTAGTAGAGTCAAGGTTCAAACTTCAGTCTTCGTGAATTCAGAGGTTGCTTGTTTCCACTGTGTGGATGTGGAATCTGAAACTAGTCTTTAGATTCTGTGAGATTTTTCTTCCTCTCTTATGTTCTAAGAAACGGGAAGTAGAAAAGAACAGTGATGGAAGAGGGGGAACTGTCCTTGAGTCTGCACCCTCTACAGTTCTGTTGCTGGGAGAGGTTGGAGAGGGGCTGTGGAGAGAGTGTCCTTAGTGCCCAGATGAAAATCTTTCTCCCACTGGAGTGGTTGCAGATTTACCAAACTGCCATGCAACTTCAGCCAAGGTGTGACACTACCCCTGGCGGCTACTGTCTACCATTGCCAGGTCTTTGGAAACTGCTGCTTTTGCCAACAGAGCCTTTGTGCAAAAGGGCACTTTGCTTTCTGTCCCTGTGGCCATCACCAGCTTCTCACTGACAGCTCCTGTCTGTAACTGTTGGGGTTTACCATCCAATAAGTGGACTCTATCAGCTTGCTTCATCTGTGTTGTCTCATGTTGCTGTGTGTCTGAGGTATGATCATTTGCCCTTTCTTCACTTTTTCATAGCTGTCTAATTTATATTGTTTTGAGTACCAAGACTGTACAGTGGGCTCCAGAACTTTTTCCAAAGGGGATCTGTTGCCTTTTAACTGGAGCTGTTGTCGTGTGTGCTGACCAAGAATGCCCCTGGTGGTGGGCATTCTTTTATGCTTTTTAAAATATGCTTTTTTTAAATATATGCTTTTTAAAAATCAAATCAAAAAAATTTTTTGTAAAAAATACAAAAAAGAATAAAATAATTACCACCCAAAGATAACTTTCTAAATTTGCTATATATTATTACAATATTTTCCACATAGATATATAATTTACATAAAGAAAATATACTACTTAAATAAAATAATTTTGTACGTATAGCTTAGCTTCCTTTCTTTCAAAACTATCTTACATACCAATAAATGTTTCCTATATCATTTAGTGGTAGAATTGTTCAGCTAATCTTCTATTAAGGTTGTTTCTCACCTATCTGCTGTTGTAAACAGTTTTGTGATAAGAGTTGATGTAGCTAATTTTTTTGTGCACATTCTTAAATATTGTACCTTTCTTCCCTTTCTGGTTTATTTTTTAAGTAATGTGTGTGCATGAGGGAAGTAACTAAGTTGCTCTCCCTACTGACCCACAGTGTTATGATTTCTATTTTTTTTTTTTTTTTTTTTTGGAGACGGAGTTTCGCTCTTGTTACCCAGGCTGGAGTACAATGGCGCAGTCTCGGCTCACCACAACCTCCACCTTCTGGGTTCAAGCAATTCTCTTGCCTCAGCCTCCTGAGTAGCTGGGACTACAGGCATGTACCACCATGCCCAGCTAATTTTTGTATTTTTAGTAGAGATGGGGTTTCACCATGTTGACCAGGATGGTCTCGATCTCTTGACCTCGTGATCCACCCGCCTCAGCCTCCCAAAGTGCTGGGATTATAGGCGTGAGCCACCGCGCCCAGCAGTGTCATGATTTCTTTAGAGTACATTTCTAACATTTTAGTTGTTGGATCAAAGGGTATGCAAAATTTTAAGTCATTTGCCTTTTAGAAAGATTGTGTAGGTTTACTCTTTCACCAATAACTGAAAACCTCGTGGACAATGGATATTTTCATTTCAGATTTTGTCAACTTCATAAGTGAAAAATGAACCTCATTGTTTTTAACTTATATTTTTAAATTGCTAGTGAAGTTGAATATATTTTTTTATTTACAAATTGGTCACTTGAATGTTTCTTCTTTTGTAAATGGCCTGTTTTTTCGTATTTTTTTTTTTTTTTTACCATTGATGCATTTATGTGTTCCTATTGATTTGTAAGAGTTTTCTAGGGGAGGGGGCTTGGATTTAAGAATATTAACAATTTGGGTGTCATAAATATTAGTTACTCCCTCCAGTTGTTTTTATTTTATTTGTGATATTTTAAACTATTATTCAAGATTAAAGAAGATGTAAAAGTTAAAAATGAAAAGTATAATCATGCTCATTTCATATTTTCTACCTAACAGCATTAGAAAATATACAATTCTTTCTATTTTTGATTTAACAATAGAATATTTCTATGCACTTAGAAAAGATGTGAATTTGACTTACCCTTTCCCCTTTGCCTCTTATTTTATTAATATTTTAGATTTAAAACTTTTTATTTACTCTTATGACTTGAAGTAACACACCTAATTCTATTTTTTATTCCATTATCATTCAGCAGCATCTCTTGACTCCCTACTTTATAAAATGAGAATATTAGCAGCTTTATCCCTTCTCGCCCCCTTGTCCCTGCAGACTGAGCCCAGAGCATTTCCAGGAGCTTCTCCGTCCTCCATAGTCTACACAGGACAGCCTTTCATCTCCACTGCAGCTCTTTCAGCTGGTTTATCTCCCAGCTGGCTCTTATCTGCTTCCTGTCCTTCCAGCCCGTCTCTTCCCTGTTACAGGTTTTCCTCCTTGTACCTCTGTCTTTTTATTTAAATGGTTCTCTGAAGATGAAAGGCAAAGGTGCCTAGCTTGGCATCTTGAGCTGAACATTGTGGTGCTTTGGATGTATAGAAATTTTAACATTTTTATGTGATTAAACCTTCGAGTGATTCCTTTTGGTTTCTACCTTTGGTGCCATGTTTAGAAAGTCCTTCTCCAATTTAAAATTATGTTTTCTTTAGCACTTTTGTGAATTCTTTCTAACTTTGAAATCTTTGTTCATTTCTAGAATTTATTTTGGTGGGTAGAATAGTTTGGAGATTTATCTTTCGTTCAAATGGTTAGCCAACTACTCAGTATCATTTACTAAATAATACAAAGTTTTGAAGTACTGAACTCTACATATATTTGTGCCTGTTGCTGAGCTTTGCTTCTTTAATCTGTCTGTTATGCACATTGGTGCCAAACTTTTAATTATTGCCATTTCAATATTTTAATATCTGGAGGGCAGGTCTTCACCACCATTGCCCCCATCATTGTTCTTTTTCAAAGTATTTCTAGTTGATGTTGTATTCTCTCTTCGCTACTGCAAAAGGAGAAGTTTGCTATAGTATACACATTTGAATGAGGCTGACTTGGTCAGCCCATGTCTTAGCTCTTCTTCAGTATTTCTTTCCAGCCAAGTGGAGAGAGTAAAACTTCTATGGAATACGAGTTTCTCATTCACCCAGGTTTGCTTTCACTTGCTTTCAGGTCTAGGACTGGAAAATGCAGTACATGCCAATAATTCTAGCCTTCTCTGATCTGTAAACATGTATCTTCATCGACATTTGTGTAGTTCCTTGGAGCCAAAAGGAAAATAGTCACTTAACCAGATTTTACTCTAAACATTTCAGGTCTACTTCCACTCCCTGGCACCTGCTAGTACCTCCCAGTCACCCAATCTAATCTCCTAGTCTCTGGCATCTGACCCAGCCTCCATCACTGCCTCCCGCAGGAATGTGTAGATGCCCTTCAGTCCATTTCATCAGTCTCCCTCTTTCCCACCCTACCTGCCAATGTATCCTTGGCCTGCTTGCCTTCCTTTCCCAGGTGCCAGCACAGAAAGTTTGTGACCTCAGGTGCCTTTGTGCTCAGGTAGAATTAGGCACCTAGCAATTTAAGAAATACTTATGGCTGAGCGCGGTGGCTCACACCTGTAATCCCAGCACTTTGGGAGGTCAAGGCAGGTGGATCACGGGGTCAGGAGTTCCAGACCAGCCTGACCAACATGGTGAAACCCCGTCCCTACTAAAAATACAAAAATTAGCCAGGCGTGGTGGCAGGCACCTGTAATCCTAGCTACTCAGGAAAATGAGGCAGGAGAATCGCTTGAACCTGGGAGGTGGAGGTTGCAGTGAGCCAAGATCATGCCACTGTGCTCCAGCCTGGGCAACAGAGCAAGACTCTGTCTCAAAAAAGAAAGAAAAAGATAAAACTTGTTTAATTATGCTTACCTAGAAACATTGCAACATCAACATAACTGACTCCAGCCAGAAGAATGAGTACTTGTTTCCTGCTGGGAAGGATGCCAAGAAACCTGTGCTTTGGAGTCTCTGTGGGCACGGAGCCTGTGTTTGAGGCAGATGGAATTTCAGCCTTCGGAAACTCACCGTCATTGACTCTTTCCTAAACATACTAAATGAAAAATGGTCACCTTTGCACCTTTGCACAAATCTCTATCAAAAGCCAGGGAGAGCAGAAAACCTTTTTTACTACTTTCATTTTCCTTTTATTTATTTATTTTTTTGAGACAGAGTCTCTCTCTGTTGCCCAGGCTAGAGTGCAGTAGCGCCATCTCGGCTTGCTGCAGCTCCCGCCTCCCAAGTTCCAGCTATCCGTCCGGCTCGGCCTCCCAAGCAGCTAGGAGTACAGGCTAATATTTTTATATTTTTGTAGACATGGGGTTTCACCATCTTATCCTGGCTGGTCTTGAACCCTGGGCTCAAGCCATCCGCCTGCCTCGGCCTCCCAGGATTGCAGGGGTGAGCCATCATGCCCAGACTACTTTTTCTTTTCACATTTGCTGATTTTGTCCCATCCTTCTTTTTGATGCTGCAACAAAAAAAAAATGAAAATGTTAAATATTAAATATCTTCTGTAGAAGATACTTTATTAAAATTCTATTTCAGTACTATCCAGTAGAAAAATAAATGCAAGTCATATATATAATTGTAAATTTTCTAGTAGCCATATTAAAAATAGCTTTAAAAACCCAGATGAAATTAATGTTAACATTTTATTTAAGCGAGTGTATTCAAAAGGCTGTGTCAGCATGTAATCAATATTAAAAAATATTGAGATGCCTTACGTTCTTTTTTTCATTTGAAATCTGGTGTGTATTTTACATTTACTGTACATCCCAGTTTTGGCCAGCCACATCTCAAGAACTACATATAAAATCACTACTTCCAAATATTGAGTGATTTTACTAGTGTCTTTATATTGGAAAAACCACATCTAGACGTTCTTAACTAGCGATGCATGTTAACAATTACCTGGAAGCTTTTCCTAAATACACATTTCTGCCTGTACCCCTCACTAGATCTGTTAAGGTAAAAATCTCTGTTCTGTGTGAGCCTGGGCATGTGTCTTGAGAAGGATACATAGGTGATACTGACAAGTACATTTAACTAAGAAGGTCCAACTTCTTTGTTCTACCTATGATGAAACACATCACAGAAAGTTTGTGACCTCAGGTGCCTTTGTGCTCAGGCAGAATTAGGCACCTACCTATGATGAAATTAGGTTCTACCTATGATGAAACATATCCTGTTTCATCATAGGTAGAACAAAGCTTTCCCACAGAGAGTAATGATACAGACCTGAGTATTCCATCCACAAATCTCGTGTCATTTTTGTCTTATCATTTCTAATATACAGGATAGGAATGCAGACTACTATTATACACAGATTTGTTCAACAGCAAGAGTCAGCAACAAAGCGATTTTCGAGTTAATTTTTAGATTGTCAGGAAATTAAATGTGAAATATACCTGCACGTGTGTGCACGAGCGCATCACACACACGGGCACACACACACACACACACACTGTCTAAATAGTCTTGTTAAATGACATTTCATTGTGATGGGTATGACTGCATAGATTTTATATGTATTCCCATTTTCCTGATACCTTTTAGACTCACCTCATATATTATACTTTCCTGAAACTGCTTTTAAAAATCTATACCAAAATAGATACCCAGGGCCATTATAATTATTTTAGTATATCTCTGAACATCATGACCGAATACAAAACTTTTTCAGCCTGTCAGTTTTCAAAGTGTCAACTCTGGATTTTTCAGGTTAAAATTTCATATTTTTAAACTGATAACAAGGCTGCCAGATATCAGCAGGCAGTGTGGTTGACTACTCTGTAATTTTATGGGAATTTTTTATAGGTGAATCACAATGGCTTGCTTCTCTCTTTCACATAGTGCTGACAAGGACAACACATGTGCTATACTGAAAGATAGTAAGTCTCAAAAAGGTCATCCAAAGGTAATTTGAGGATTATTTTCGATGAGTTGGAGATATGAATAAAAATGTTTGCTCTTTAACAATTTTGTATGAAGTGAGCAAACTTAGATTATCTAGTTTTATTTAATGCAAGTGAATTTAACAATTAAATTATTTTCATAGCTCTTTAATCCATATCCTTATTAAAAATCAACTTAAGTCTACAGAAGTCACAAGTAATTAACAAGGCATGTTAAATAAAATAATGGTATCTGTAATAGCCTACAAACAACTACTAGACTTTAAATTTTTTAAAAAGCATTTTAAAGGTCCAAATTGTTTAAACAGATTATTTAGCAGTGATCAGGATGGTTATATGACACCCACTTGAAAGAAGCTTCAATGTAGATTTTCTAGACTAATTGTCTTTTTACAAATGGAAGATTCTGAGACATCCGAAGAGATGAAGGGATTAACTTCAGTCACACAAAGATTCCCTGCCAGTGCTATTTTACCACTGTCTTCTGACTCACTTCAGTTGGCTTTTTTTTTTAATCAGCTAACGGTGACTTTCTTTTGCTAGAATGTAACAGCATATTAAGGTGTAGTGATTTGCTATAATGAAGTGATTTAAAATATTTTGACACATGTCTATTGGACATATCAATAAAACAGAACAAAGACAATAGCAGCATTACTTCAGTGCTTCAGAGTCCCACGTGCATTTCCTTCCATGTGTCTACCATAGGGCATTAAAGCGCATGAGCATTTCTTCTAAAATAGGTTTCCTAACTGAGTACAAGATCCACATTTTAAAAAATACCTTTTGTGGAAAATACTAAAACTTGGAGCCACAGCCTTATTTCTCTCTCTTAACATAGTTGCTCACTTCGTGGGGGAAAAAAAGTCCACTTTGGACAAGTGGATGTAATTGTATATGTAATGCACTGGGAAGTATGAGTTACTATTGATTAACTCGTATTAAATATCTGAGAAAAATGTATGTATTATAATTTTAAGCTGATGAGATGATAAATAGAAAAAGCCCTTATTTGGAGTTCTCTGATGTATTCTTAGTGTTCAAGACCCTTAAAACAAAAAATATGATTTCTCATTTTACATTCTTCTCCTTTCTAGTGTTTTTTTTTCTTCTTATATAGAACAGTGATTTTATTGTAGAATTAAAACTGATAAACCTGATCCTCAGCTCTGTGCTATTTTGGTTACCCCATGAGGCGCTGCTCCCCATAAACCTGAGAGTTCGTTAGAAGGTACCTAGTTCAGAAGATTATCAGCTTTAAGCAATTGCCATCCAAGAGAGTAAAGAACTACTCTGGAAGCTGGCAAGAAAAAAAGGAGTTGTTATTTCTATGCCAATGTTTCTAGAACTGGTTAGGCAATGAGATAGTAGTCCTTAATACAATTGAGCTGTGATGTATAATACCAATAGTCATACACAGTTTCAGACTCGGATTGATATTTTTGCAATCAAATAAAGGAGGCTGTTTTCACACATCCTAAAAAAACTATGATTTGATAGCCACATAGAGATTATTTCTTAGTAATTTTTGAAGGCCTGCTAACCAAAACATTGTAATAAAATTCACTCTTATGAAATTAAGAGTTAAATCACAAAAATACAACTGTTCAGATAAATATTCAAGCATTGACAGGTGTACAGCACCTCCGTTCTGTTTGCTGGCCATTATGTTTTTACCAGCTTTGGTTTTGAAAGTCCCATCTTTCACCTTGATTGAATTACATGAACATCCTTTCCTATTATTACTCCAAAAGAGTCCTCATAATTTTTTATAGCACCTTTGATTTTAGACTGAAGGCTTTTAGATAGACTTAAATAGATTCTTCTACTATATGTTTCTGAAATGTTGACCCCTGTACTTTACTAATGTACATTTCACTTTATAAGGTTAATGTAAGGGCTTTTCTATGGCTCCAGGCAAACCTCAAAGAATCTCTGGTTTGCAAAAAAGATCAAGATGCCTCTGGAAATAAATATGACCCAATGGTGTTACTATTTTTTTTTTTTTGCAAGACCTAGGTTGAGAAGTGATCATTATACTGTGTATTCTTTAATCTTGATGTTTTTAAAGAAGTTTAAGTGTTGTATCCTTTCAGCAATTAAGTTCAGTTCAAAAGACAGAATAAATACAAAACTCTTAAAACAAAAATAAAAACTCTCAAGAGACCACATTGTGATAAGTATTTCAGCCTCTGGATTTTGATAAACTAGAAAGCTTTATTTTGAGGAGTCATTAACTTGCAGTTTGGCCCAGATCACTCTGTAAGGTCATAGTAGCTTTAGGCCTGTTATCTCTAACTAGCTTGCCCACTGGGACAGAAAGTGTGTTCCAAAAGAAAGAGCAAGATCTCTGTGATTAAATTGAGTCTACAGGGGACTGAGAGCCCTAAGAAAACTCCAGATTTTAAGAAACCTTCAAAGAGAAAAGGGACTGACAGATCCAGATAAGCCCTAGGGAAAAGTGAAGTGCTTGGTGCGTGTATATACTGTATAAGTTCTCAATACAGCTGTACAATGACTCGTCCAAATTTGGCTTCTTAAGCCTGGTAGAGTCAAATTTCTGGCACTTGGCAGCAGAGAATTTACAGAATGCCTTGATGGAATCAAGGCATTGATTCCATCCTGTTGCCCTTGTCTTCCTTTTGCTTCCAGACTTATGACTTGGATTTTTTTTTTTTTTTAATACTCCTTCCAGCCCTAGTAGTGACAGCATTTTCCAAAATGTTACTCAAAACCTCTCAAATACCAAAGGCAGTACCAACATATCCTGGCATCTATCCTATGATCGTGCTTTAGGAATACACCGACTGCCTCAGTGATGGCCAGATGCCAGTTCTTGTAGTCAAGTTGTGGCTTGGACACTTGGACTCATTCCCTTTGGTAATCCTATCATGATCCCTTACTGTCTTTCCTTCCTACCAGAATCTAAGCTCCTAGAAGGCAGGTGCTGTGATTTTTATCTCTTGTATTTCCACAGCCAAGTTGGCTAGAAACATGGTGGATCTACAAAGAAAGTTAGTTGAAAGAACAAATCCAACTATCCAAGAGGTTCTGAATACCCACTGGCTCCACCACCAAACTCTGCTCTTCTCCTGTTTTTTTGAGACGAAGCCTCTCCCTGTTGCCTAGGCTGGAGTACAGTGGTGTGATCTTGGCTCACTGCAACTTCTGTCTCCCAGGTTCAAGCGATTCTCCTGCCTTAGCCTCCCAAGTAGTTGTCAGGCGTACACCACCATGCCTGGCTAATTTTTGTATTTTTAGTAGAGATGGGGTTTCACCATGTTGCCCATGCTGGTCTCAAACTCCTGACCTCAAGTAATCCACCCACCTCGGCCTCCCAAAATGCTGAGATAAGGTGCCTGCCTTTCTCTTTTTAATGCACCCAATCCCTGGGGAGCCCGACTGAGGATCACAGCTGTGAGCTGGGGGAGGGCCCACTGTTGACCCTAAGACCTGGCCTGACTTGAGAAGCCCCAGATGTGGAATTTCATCGGGCTCAAGGAATCCTTTCAAGGAGCATTCTGACAATAGAACCATATAAATTCCACTCTTCTTTTTGTCAACTATTTTGAAACTGTTCTAGTGATTAAGATTGATCTAGAAAATATGAACTGCATTTTTACAAACATTCAGAGCTTCAAAACTAGCTTTGAAAGGCCAGGCATAGTGGTTCATGCCTGTAATCCCAGCACTTTCGGAAGTCAAGGCGGGCAGATTGCTTGAGCCCAGGAGTTCGAGACCAGCCTGGGCAACGTGATGAAACCCCCTACTCTATTAAAAAAAAAAAAAAATCAGCTGGGCATGGCAGTGTGGGCCTGTTTTCTCAGCTGCTTGGGAGGCTGAGGTGGGAGGATGGCTCGAGCTGGGAAAGCAGAGGTTGCCGTAAACTGAGATTTTCAGCCTGGGTGACAGAGCAAGATCCTGTCTCAAAAAAAGCCCACAAGCTGGCTTTAAAGTGAACTAATAATGATGTCTATGTCATTTCTATATATGATATTTGATCACTCTTTTCTCTCTTAATATTGTTTCAACTTCTGATTTACTTTAGCAAACATTTTATTCATTAAAAGTACAAAGGTAAACTTAAACCATACAAATAATCAGCCAAATCAGTCGAATCTAAATGAAGTCTTTTATACAAAAACCTAAATGCTTAAAATAGATAAGTACAGTATTTTATCTTAATTGTGGAGGGGTTAACATGTTGCTGGGCTTTTGACATCAAGGATGTCTATGTTCGAATCCTGACTTTGTCTCTTGTTAGTACTAGTTGTATTAACTTAAATAAATCACTTTCACCTTTCCAAGTCTCAGCGTTTTCTTTTATAAAAACTATGGTTATCAGGAGGATTTTGTGAGAGAATTATATTTGAAAAAACCTGCTAGGATGTATTCTTTAGTAAACATTCAGTATTTGGCTCTCTATTTGGCAACTGAGTGATGGGTATGTTCCCCAGGTGTGAGGGTCACTGGGTTGAGGTTATTGTCTTGTGGTTTCAGTAATTTGGTCTCTTGTGTACTATTCTTATTATATGTTTTTATATAGTTTAGAAAATCTAATCTGTAGAGAATCTGATTCTTGTTTTTTGGCCACATTTTCAGATCTATCACTCATCTACTGTGAGGATATTAAAAGGAATACTTGGTCAGTTTGTTCAATTAATCAGAGAATGGTGCCATTAAGTTAAAAAAAATACATATACATGTATAGGCATGATCCTCATATGGATTAGTTTGTTAGCTGCATAGTCACAGATGAAATCCTGAGTTATTACCCTTCCTACAGATGTGTTGCTTGTTCATGGTGGGGATAAGGTTTTCAGTAAGGATAGTTTGTTAGTAATAAACTGTAACTACCATTGGAAGAACATTTCAAAGTACAGCATTATGCATTCTACTTATTTAGTCAAAAAACATCATTTTCGTTTCATGCGGTAATAGTCCGTTAATTTACCCTAATAATATTTCATAGATTTTGACATCTACTAGAACATAAGGTTGAAGTGAAAAGCATGTTGTAGTTTGTGCATTTTTATTTTCTACAAAAGAAAACCAAAATTACCTTACATACTTATTTAAATTGGACTTTTTTTTTTTTTTTTTTTTTTGAGACAGAGCCTGGATCTATTGTTCAGGCTGGAGTGCAGTGGCACCATCTCAGCTCACTGCAACCTCTGCCTCCCAGGTTCAAGTGATTCTTCTGCCTCAGCCTCCCAAATAGCTGAGAGTATAGGCACTTGCCACCACATCAAGCTATTTTTTTTTTTTTTTGTATTTTTAGTAGAGATGTGGTTTCACCATGTTGGCCGGGATGGTCTCGATCTCCTGACCTCATGATCCACCCACCTTGGTCTCCGAAAGTGCTGGAATTACAGGCCTGAGCCATTGCACCCAGCCTTATTTCTATAGTTTTTGAGATTCAACTCTTGGAATCTTATACATATCTTTGCCTAAGTGATAGGGGGTGGTTTATGGTTTTTGCCATTCATAATTTTTCTTAAACCTTCATACCCACATTTAGCCATATGCACTTTAAGGCACACAGTGAAGATGAAATTTAATACACATCTAACTTCTGTGCAGACTTGGTGAGAAAGATATTTTGCAGCCTGCTTTCACTCTGTGAGTCATTAAGGAGTGGGTTGATAAACTTACATTGCAACCTCGCTTATAGGAGATTGTGCCTATTGTAAGATACTCCCTATAAAGCCAAAAGTAAAAAAAATGCTAAGGATACTGACAGTTGTTTATAAAATACAGTCATAGAGACATCAGGCTCCAGAGAGCTCTCTGATTAAATTTCATAATAACTTTATTTTCTCTGACTGAATCACTTTGTTAAATTTTGTCTTGGCTTCTGGAGACAGGGTAGGGAGACAGATTAAATTTCAATACCTTATGCTATTCATTGGGCTTGGGAGAGTTTCTTCAGCTTAAATGATAATAAAGATAGATTAGTGATTCTGGTTTATCTTCTAATCTTAGCATAGACATTTTCTGTAGATTAGAAGTCATTTCATTTGCGAACAAAATACGGCTTCTGATATAAAAAGAAAAATGAATCTTAATTCCCTAAGGCTTAGAAAAGATTGCTGGAATTTAGGAGTTGGGTAAATGGTTTTACTCTAACTACTACTCTAATTGAATAAACGTGAAAAGATTTTCTGAAAAGCTAAAAAGCTCTTAAAGTAAATTTGAGAGGATTTTTTTGCATTATTGAGAACAAGATAGTACATACCCTTACCTAAAATTCTCCCTCATGTTTTGTTTCCTTTGCTTTGGAAACAGCATCCAAGCAGGGCCACTCAGAAGGGTATGTGGGGGTGGGCGTTTAATGGTTGGTTGTTTGGAGGAACTTATGTACAGGTACCTAAAAAGAATAACTCAGGCAAGTCTCTCAGCCACTTAGATTTCCTATTTCTTTTTAGGTTAAGCATTGCTATTCACATTGTGTTGACTGTAGAAGGATTGATACTGTCCAGCACAAATAATGGTAAAACAGAATTTCTGCTTAGGACTTAGGTAAATATCAAAATATCTTAATGATAAGCACGTGTATTCTTTTAAATTTTGTCAGTTGCCCAGTGCTTCCATTCATTCATCACTTGTTTATTTTATTCAGCAAGCATTTATTGACCCTCTGCTGGTTCTGGGTTTTCCCATCCATACTGTGCTAGATGCTTGGTATGCAAAGATAAATGAGTTATGGTCTCTCCCCTCAAGCTGCCACCAACTACCAAATTCTTGGTCATTTTAGTTGTTTTATATTTTCTTTTCTTTTTTAAATTTTTAATTTTCAATAGGTTTTTGGGAACAGATGGTGTTTGGTTACATGAATAAGTTCCTTAGTGGTGATTCCCAAGATTTTAGTGCACCCATCACCTGAGCAGTGTACACTGTACCCAATGTGTAGTGTTTTATCCCTCACCCCCTTTCAGTCTTTCCTCTGAGACCCCAAAGTCTATTATATCATTCTTATCATTCTTTGCATCCTCATAGTT